CCAGGTCATGTGGTAGTTTTATACCTTGTATAGACATACATCTGCATTAGTCAAAAGCATCTAAGAGTTAACATTGACTCCAAAATATCTGGGCACAATGACTCATTCCAGACAGATTCTCTGTTTAGCAAGTGAAGATAATTGACATTCATGACCCACTTCTCAGATGCTGCTCTTGTTGATGGGATTCTCACATGAAGAGACTCTTGTTCAGCACCCTTTAGAATCTTTATTAGTATCAAGTTTTAATTTCTCTACCTTCAGTAAAACAACAGAACAGCAATCAGCTATTTTAATTCTTGCTGAGAACAGTTTCAGTGTTCTTCCATTAGCTGAACAAGTAAACCACTTCAGCTATCAATGCTGCCCCAACAGCAAGTTGTGCCCATGAACTGCATGCTTGGAGATGACTGGCAGGAACTTCCTGCAATTCAGCTTTCTTCCCTACCTCCCTCACAACTAAACCCTTATATAAAAATCCGTAAGGGACAAATTTTATGTTGACAGTACACTGCAAGGAACTATAACCACTGGCTGAAAAAACTAAAATGTTTTTTTAACAAATTCCACTCCATGAAAAAAGCATTACTGAAACTACTAGAATAGCCCTTTAGAAACAGGGCTTCAAAATGCTCTCATGAAATTAGAAAGTGAACTCTAGGGTGCCTCCCTTCCCTCCAGCAGGTTTTCCAGAGGCAGGGAGGCCCTCAAGCTCAAATGATTCCAATCCTGAAGTGTGCAGACACCTTCAAGGAACTGAGGCACTACTATACTGCAGTCTTACATGCACTCCAGAGTTGCAGATGTGACCGCAGACTGGATATTAAATAACAGCGTGGGAGATAATTTGGCTCAAATCTACAGGATACTCTGACAAGTATTTGGGTCAAGATGGCAGTAACCATCCTTGATCCCTCTGAATTTCAACACGTGGCACTGGTGACCCGTATGTAGCAGGCTTCTTCACATCTTGAAATTTATTAGTGGATCACATCAGTAGGCTATGGTCTGGGACTCTGATACTGCCTGCTAATATGGACAGATAGGTTAGAGTTTCTTGTTTTCTTCATCAAGTAATCTTTCACTGCTAAGAAACGGTTCCCCTGCATGTTCCATTTCATTCACCCACGCAGCTACTACCAGGTTTCTTAGTATTCCTATACTGGAGCTGTTTCAACTGCTTCGCAAACAGCTCTCGGTTCTAGCATGTCATAAATGAAGTTTCACCTTATGAAGCAGCCAGAGGATGCATCCAATACTGATATGGACCAACCTGAATTAGACAGTCAAAGGCAGACCAAAGCTTTGCCCCTTATCGATTCTCATTTGCATTAGCCTGTATGAAAGTGTGTTTCCATTTCTATGCTCCCCTAAACTTCTCATCAATTAAATGTATTCACCAAGTATCTAGTACTCATGACAGCTCATTTAAGATGAAAAAAATTGCTCTTTTAACACAGGAATTAAACCAGTATAATTCTGAAATTCATGCCAAGTCTATTCCTTCACATAAACCTGGTAACAATCCCTGTTCTGAATTGTCAAAAGAAAAGGAAAATTTGTTTTTCAAGTACTCTGTAGAAAACCTGGAAATGAGTAAGACCAGTGCTGGAGCTAGAGCATTCTCTCCCCAGCATCCACAAACACAAGGTAATCTTGCCCCAGGCTACTTAAATCAGAAGCATTGCTCCCAATGCAGTTATAAGGTCAGACACCACATTTCTCAATCTCATTTACACTAAAATGTTCTGGAACAAGACTGATGCAATGTTTTCGCTGGCAGCTGAAAGTATGCCTCAAAGCATGCCTCAAAGCTGATGAGCTGCTCTCTGATAAAGGAGAAACACCAACTATATTGCCAATAGTTCTAACCCTGGCACTCTCACCTACTACGAATGTAATTTAAATTCAGGATCCTTCTTAGGTATCAATTTATGCTATACATAAGACATCACACCTTCAAACAAGAGGCCTGCAATTAAGTCTTGCTCCATTCCATTCCCAAGCAAGGAGTCTTCTGACACTAAATAGCAGCAGTGTGAGCTTCTAGCATATAAAATATCAAAACTATCATTTAAGGATGTGGGCAATTTGCATATCCATTATTAAGACCTTGAGGCTTGCTTCTGTGTGCCTGCAGCAGCCTCTTAATTGGGAGAAGCACATAATCCTTAAGCAACTTTAATAAGGAATGCTAAATATGTGAACACAGATCTGCAAGACAGAGATAAACACTTTGAATAGCCATCCCACTAACTGATCAAGTACCAGTTATATCTTTCCACTCCTGGAACAAAAGGTCAGGAAACAGCTAAGTAAAGGACTTTTCCTTTTGAAGCACCAAAGTCATTACCTATAGAAAACACAGGCTTGTTTTCTGCACCAGCCAGCCTTCAGCTGAAGACGGCAAGGTGTGGCATCAGCCCAGTCTAGTTTCTTTGGCATTCAGTATAGTTCACAGTGAAGAGTAAAGATTGCTTTGAAGTTTGGTCAGAAAGCAGTGGTTTCATTAGCCAAGGCTACCATGCTGAAGTAGGGTACTTCACAGATTTAACCATTCCACCACCTAATGTCTTAAGAGCAAACCACCTGCTACGGTAAGAAGTGCTGGTTGTTCAAATCCAAAGGGGAGGCAAAGCAACCTTCAAAGGCACAGAAGTCAGCCACAGACTGTTCAATAAGAAGGAAGCCAAAGGATCGGTGTTGGGTTTCAAGCAGCCTCTTAGCTTGACATTTTGTGCCACTAAATGGTCGCTACCGCAGGGAGAGTGAGTTGTCAGCAGTCACTAACTGAAATGAGGAACAGCCATGAAGCATGGCCTAGTGAATTCACCAAGACAGAGATACACTTCCTGGCAGTCGTCTTTTAAAAGTCTGCTCTTCAGGCAGGATTCCCTTGTTTTGGGGGAATTTGCTTTCAAACTAACAAACTGTGTGTAGAATAGCCAGTAGGAAAGATCAAGACTTAAAAAAAAAATCCCACTCTTGCAGTCTCAGAAGTACAGCATCACCTCTCTGGGCCTAAGTATGGCATTTCTGCTTTTCTTCAGTTTCTACTTCATAAGGTACCTGAAATCAAGCATAAACTTCAGGAAGTCCCAGAAGCAGGGCTTGAGAATCCACCTGGTGACTGGGGACACAGAAGTGTACTTTGACAACAGAACTGTGTGGAGGACAGTAACCAAGACCTATTATCAAGAGTGCCCAATACCAAAAATATCCCTTTATATGTAACAGATTATTCTCACACCATGCACAAGTAAAAAAACTTCACAGATATGGTCACAAATGCTGTCTCCAGCATGTAGAGAATGATAACAGACAAAAGCATCCTCAAAAAAGACTAATTATTCAGTGTCATATCAGTATGTTCACTAATTGTGTATTAGCAGAATGCAGGTGCGAACACTGGCAATTAAACTACTTTGTATGATTCAAAAAAGGTACAGGCTCTGGCTAAAGTCAGTCTCACTGTGCAGCAGACTAAATGGTCAAATTTAGGAGAGGAGATCCCTAACAGGAGATCACTCTGCTCACCCTCCACAGGTGCAGATGTAGATGAACAAAACAGTTGAGAACTATTCCCCTTAGTATCTTTTTGCTGCCAGATTCTTCTTTAAGCATCATCCTTGTACTGATGACACAGTAGCGTCTGCATCATGTGGGAAAAGGTGGCATAACATGTTTCTGCCATGCTAGAGGAGCAAATATATCATCAGGACAAGAGAAGAAAGCATGTGCTGCATGCCGAAGACAAGTCCTGGGGTTGGTGCCAGAGCTGCCTGAAGGTTTTTAGGCCTTGTCCTCTACTATTCATGTACACAGTTGGAGAACACATCTCTCCAGCATACCCAAGCCATGAACACAAACATGCAGTAGGGGCTGAAGCCACATGCAATCTTCATCAACTAAAGCTTTTGTCTTCCTGCTTCCCACCACTGCTGCTGGAGGAACACTGATTCACAAAAAAAAAATTTATTTAGTGTGAGAAAAATGTTCAAGTTCTGCCACTACCTTTCAGTAACAGGAAAGTATTGACCTCCATCCCTTAAACCAAAGCATGGAGAACATGCAGCCTTGAAGAGGTGTAGTATTAGACACACAGAAGCTAACCAGCACATTTAAGAGTCACAATCAAGAACATATGTTAAAGGTGTGTTCTTGAAAGCAAGCTATTTGAGCTCTGCCAAAAGCAGCCAGGAAATAAAGTACCAAAGTCAACATTTCTGAACAAAACTAATGAAATGTCAACGTAAGTGGTACACCCATGTTTTTCAATTTGAGAGAGCTTAGAGTTGAAAAATGGAGATGAGACAAAGTAAACTTTGCCAACCATCCTTTCATTCTTGTTTTAAAGTGCAGGCATCTATCTGTTAGTTCTTTCAAAACTTAAACAACTGGTCTAAATACATGCAACCTGTGTACCAGCTGTTGCTAAAAAAAAGTACTAACAGAATACATGACACTGCAGTTCATACTTGCAGTCTCAGACAGCATGTACCAATTTAAGTGTGCATCCTAAAGAAATTGCTCAAGTGCTACAATGCAAAAGTGGCTCTACCTACAAAGCTGAATAAATGAAATTCACCATTTTCCCAGGGTACAAGTTTAATTACCTGCATCCCTGAAAAAGGAAGTTTTGCATCAACTAGGGCTAATGCAGTCATGACTCCAATGGAGTTGGATAAAAACTTCAAGTAGACCTTGTATAAATATCTGCTTTTCCATGTCCTGCCAAAGGCTCTAAAGCTCAGAACATTTAAATGCCCTGTTAGCATTTACAACACTCATACATACAAAGCTGGATGAGATACAAATACATACACTTAATTTTTGGGTGTAGAATCTAGATAATGATGAACTTAAGTTCCTTCTGACTAGCCACATCAGCAGTAGTTTCTTCTGACTTTATTTCATTATTTAAGACAACTGCAAAACACCATCTGACAGCTCACTGCTTAGAAAATGAAAAGATGCAGAAAATCCCCAAACCAACATACCTGTTATTTTATCCCTGACAAGCTTGCAGGATTCTATCTCACCAATGCTGCCAAACAGACTCTTCAGCTCCTCTTGTGTCATATTCTGTGGAAGGTAGTTGACTATTAAATTGGTCTTGCTGTCTTCTGTGTTCCCAGAATCAACTGGTGATGAGCAATTGTTTATGGTGGTTGAACCATGGGCTGTGTTATTGCAAGTTGGTCCATTAGACAGTTGTGTTTCCATGGCAGCAATTACCTGCTGAAAAACACAGAAAACAAGAACCATCAAAATTCATATCTCACCATCCATTAGGAGAGTCCAGACAAGAATCTAAAAGACCTGTCACTATGTAGAAGTGGTATTGCCAGGGCCATATACATATGCAAAAACAACCCCACCAATACAGAAGGATTTTAACTGTTAGTCAAGGCAATACTTAAAAAACTTACAGGCAAATCAAGCGTCACTAAAATCTTCTAAGAGTTCTCTCAATGAAGTCAACACTCAAAGCTTAGTTTCCACTCTCCCCCAATTCCCTTCATTTAGGGGCACCACAGCCTTTCTAATACAGAAGTTACCAAGCAGAAGTTGCCTGTTGCAAGGGTAATCAGTTCTAGTAACTTAAAACTGGTAACTGAAAGGATATGAAATATAGCTTTTGAAGTGATAGTATTTGGTTATTTTCAAAAAGAGCTGGGTGTTAACAGCATCCTGAGCCTATTTCTCATAAGCAATAGCAGAAAGCAAGATTAATAATTTGAAGAGATACTTGAAGAAATAGATGAGTGTACTGGGATGGAAAACAAACTCTTCCTTGATAACCTCTAGGTCAACCTTGTGTCACCACAGGTTTCTAAATGCTTTTGTTTGATTAAACTGACAATTCCTGGTTCTCACTTCTTCCCTCCCCCACACCCTGAAAACAGTTAAATTTTATACTTTAACTTGATTTACTTTTAGACATCAAAATAAGGGGGTGATTACCACTCCAGGAACTAACGTGTTTCACCTCAAAGTAACTGACTGTATGATTGGCAGATAGAGCAGCAATCATTTGGAGAAGGGTCAATACTTGCCTACAAGCTCCAGCATGTACAAAAGGCTCTCTGCCATCTCAGTCAGTCACTGAATGCCCATAGTTGGTTAATACAGTAGATTTTAATGGCAGTCTAATATCCAAGACTTGGGCAGCCTACCCTGTTTGAGACGAACTATATAGGACAACATCCAACAGAAAATGCTATATATTAATTCTCCAGTAATAAACATTTCAACACAGAAGCATGACTCATCAAGAAGCTTCACTAAAAAAAAAAAAATCCAGCAATTACTGAAATCCAACTTCATACTTAAATTTCTAGGAGTTCTCACGCAAAAAAGCCTATTGCAAAATCTCACTGTAATGTCAGGACCTCTGGAGGTTATCTGTCCTGTTCAAAGCAGCATATGCAATCAATGAATACCCAATCAGCTGATTAGGTCAACTGTACTCAGGGAGCGCAAATTTGAGTTTCCTAAAAACATGAGGGGGGTAAGTTGAGTGTCTTAAACTACAATTCAGACATTCCTGGGAACACATTTCTATGTTCTGCATACAGAATTATTTTCCAAGAGGTTAGTTCAGCACAACACAAAAAAGGGATGATGCATCTATTAAGAACGTTTAATATAAAAATGTGATCTAGTTTTTCTGAGGAGCTACAACTGGAACAACATTTTCTTCCCTTGTGACAAACTCCAAGGGGTAACCTGCTCCTGGCATAGTGACGAAACAAGTCTGCTGAAAAGATGAGAAAAGTAGATGATCCCAATTAAGAGAAATTACTTTTCGAAACACTAGTGTATCTGGCAGAGCTAGTAGGCACAAATGCCATGCTCTGACTGAGGCTCTCTAGGATTACTTTTTTTCCTCCTCTTTTTCTTTTTTCTCAAATTTAAAGTGTTCATTGATAAAAATTAACAGGATTTAGCAAGGACAACAAACAATCCTCACTTAATTGCACATTTATTTTCATGTTCAGGTGGCAAGAATGAGATCCTAAGCCAACATTCAAGTGAACAGCTGCAGTAGCCTGTGTGTGCTGAAATTACAGCATTTCTCAGCTATAGAACCATCTGCTCTGAATAAAGTGATACTAATATGTTTTACAAATAATACATATTCCATTGATAGGTTGAATACAACTGTTCATAAAACACAAAGCACTTCTTCAGCAGTTACTAAATATTTCCACCCAGAAAAATAGTTTAAGAGATAAATTTACAGTTTTCAAACAATTTCTTAGAATAAGACTTGTAAATATACTTTTAAAATAGTAATCATAAATACACAGTACACAGGTTTTAAAGTTACTGCAATTTAGTATTCAGACCATACCAAAACCATTTTAGTACAATACTACTCTTCAATTATCCACCAGGTATTTTGAATTAGTACTAAAATCTAATTGACATTAGAAGAAAGGCAAGCCACTGCAGTATAATTTGCACAGGAGATCACCATATTATAGGAAAAGTTGTCATAGTATGCCAGTGCGCTCTAGGGTCTCACAGAATAGGGACACAACCTACAGCCTATAACGAAACGTAGAAGAGAGTTAACTTTCCAAATGGAAGATTAGAGAGTTTGGTATGGCCTCAGCACTATAAACATGTAAAAAAGCAGCCTACAGAATTTAAGAAAAATCCCACAGACCCCAGTCCAAGGCTCTGCTGCCCACGAACCACTTCTAAGCAGAGAAGCCACATCACACAGTCTGACTGCCATGTTAGTTTGGAGTTGCCGTCTGCAATATGGACACAAAAAGTACCGTATGTTAGATTAGCAAGATAATGCAACAAATCAGTTTGTACAAATTTACAGTAATTGCATTTATATTCCCAGCACGTCCATGCAGTGTGGCTTAATTGGATTTGAGGCAATTCCAATCTAATCTTTCCAAAATCAGTTCTAATTTATTTTTCTTACATGAAATAAGATGCTTATTTTTAAGAAGATTTAAAAGATAATGCAGTCTAGTTACCCCTGTATCTACCCTGGAAACTACCTCCAGAACCACACCATGCCTAAAAGGAACTATACCACAAACCAAGTTTTTAAATGTTCAAGACTGAAGGAAGAGGAAAGAAAGAAAATGCAGCAAGTTCATTTTCCATTAGCATGTAAGATGACCATGCACCACTGAAAAACAACTCCCCTTACATGCCTTTCCCAGCCCACAAAAAAAATACACAAGATGACAAACTACTTTGCTAAAATCCAGTCTGTTCTTAAAATCCTACATTTTAAAAATTAAGTAAATTAAAATATTGCACAGATGATATTCAGTAAGTTTCCTTGCAACAGCTGTTTAAGAGTGCCACTGGACATAAAAGTGGCAGTAGACTCAAGGCTTTCTCAAGTGGAATAACTGTAGCAAAATATGCCAGATAGAGTTGTTCATAAGGGTATTTTTGTCCCCAAGCACATTGTCATTTGCTTTTAAATAAAATGCCATTGCAAACCCAGTTGGATTTGAATTGAACAGTGCTAGGAGGATACCATGAAAGCTAATGGGCCATTTGCAGATGATTACAAGTAGTCCAGATGTTAAATATAACCACAATACTGGCACAAATAGGAAGACTCCTGACTGCTGCCACAGCTTGCAACTGGTGTAAATACAAGAGATCCTTCTTGCCCCTGGTTACCACATGAGGTAAGTCTAAACTTGATAAAAAAACCCAAGGACTCAGATCTTGTAAGGCTGCTGCATCCAGGGTTTATATAAACACATATTTCAACACAACTTCTCCTGTTTTAAAGCAGTGTAAATTAGTCTTCATTTCAGTTTGCTACCAAAGTCCATACGGTTAGCTGGTTTCACGTCTGGTCTTTATTTCTAACTTAGGTTGATAAAGACCTCTAATCATCCTTTTTTATGCAAACTATTCAGACTTTGCTATCAACTGCAAGCTTGCAAGCCATTCTCTCTTTTCTCAACCCAAAAACAATGCTAACAACTGCACTTCTGAAGTTCTCCATTGTATACAGGCCAGTATGTTCGATGAATTGCTTATTATTGCAAAAAACTGAAAGTCTCAACTGACCTCTTTTAAGTCCACACAAGCTTTATTAAGGGACTGCATTAAAGTAGCAATCTACAAAATTCTTTCTCCTACAGACACTGTAGTGATGTGCATAAGATGGTGTATTTGGATCTCTACAGCTCTCAGCAAAGCAGCACAACCAGACAGATTATTCGCTTCCTGTGAGCCACAGGCTGCACATGGAAAACTCCAATAGTATTTCAATATCTTTCTTGTGTGCACAGGACTTCAGTCTACTCTTCACTATGCCCTTGAGAATCGCAGTACTTCTCAAAAAAGCAAAGAGCACCTCTCATTTGAAGTACCTCCAGCTTGCACACCACATCTATCTTCACTGAAGTGTTCCACAAGATACATTAACGTAGAACAAGCCAGTTTTCTCACTACCACACCATTAGGTCCCAAAACCAAACTTTGCTCTCACAATTCTTTTACCATTTTTATTACTTTCGAACCTGCGCAGAATGCTCTTTTACATCTAGTTTGAAAAACTAGAGTTCTTACCCTTTTCCTTACACTTCTACCTGACCTTGAAAAAAATAAGGGATATAGCTAATTATACCAAAGGAAAAAAAAATGTAATTTTTTTAAAATCTGTTTCCAGCCTAAACACTACACTTAAAGATTAAAATAGCACTTTAACATAGAATTCGAGCTTTGACTAGTCTCCAAAAAAGTTTTAAAATACTAAACTACTGAAGAATCACTAGTACCATTAAACAAGCTAACACAGTTTTTGACTATTAGCCTCAGAGACAGTGTTACACTGTGGATTATTAAAATAGCTCAGCAATTACTGCATTCAAAACCTACAGAAATTAGTAAGTTCAGGAAACAGGGCTCTATGCCTATTAAACAAATGTAAGTTTGTCTTGAAATATATTCAGATTAAGAGAAAAATTAAGTGAAGTTGGAAAAGGAAATCTGCTCCTTCTTTACAGTCCTGAAAGGAAGCAGAACTGAAGACAAAACTGTTCAGCAAACCATGAGTGGTTCCCTTTGTTAACATACAGGGCATTGGAAGCATCTCCCTTTCCATAAACTTACTTTTAATTCACCAAGCACACTTAAGATTTTAAATCCAAATACTCTTAAACACTGTTTGTGGATCCCAGTTTCTAATTAGCTGCAGTTCAAGTCATGAGTTAATGTTTGCCTAGCAGCAAGAAGCAACTAGCCTTTTTTTTTTCCCCCTGAAAGACCAAAGACATCAGGAGTTAAAAAGCAATATGGTTTACACGATTAGTAGTGGTTGCCATAGAACAATTCCAATTATATCAACTAGATTTTTATATGAGAGCTTTAGAAAACAAAGCAGAACTAGCAAGATGAAGACCAGCAAAACAACAGTCACAGTGGTCTACTAATTTTCCCTGCAAAACAGGTATTTTGGTATGTAACATACTCAGCTGCTCATCTTCAGCTGAAAGTGGAAGCTGGGGTTGGATCCTGGCAGTGCTGAGACAGAACCAAGGTGAGGTGACAAAACAGAAAAGCCTTCAGTCACTGTTACCACCTCAGGTGCATACACTAAGGAGAAGCCTTTAGTGCAACACAGCCTTTCTACCACCTGTTTTGATTCATACCTGTGCATCCCTATCATTGAGGAAAAAAATGATTTCACATAGATTTTATATACAGAATTTACTTCTATTTATACACACCACACCAGAATCACTGCACAGATGCCTGCCCTCATTAAGCTACATACTTCTGAATGGCATTACCACATAAAGGTGATTACAGAAAAAAATCAGCACCCTGAATCTAAGTGGCCAGACACCAGATATTAAAGACATCTGTGTCCTCCAACAGGTAACCACTGTTCAGAGGCAACTGAAGCTGCACTATTAGATGCTTCCAGCCTCAAGTGGCACAGCTGATACAGTGTTCTTGGTAAAATCCTAAGAGATCCTAAACATGCTCCTGAAGATCCCCCTGAAGAGTTACACACCAGGAGACTTTCAGATCATGCTTTAGAATTCAGTATTTGCCCTTTTTCCTCTTGGGTAGGACAGTGCAATGGAAGCATGTGACAATTATCACATTGCTATTTGGATAAACAGATGTTACAGATTTTGTTTTCATAATACCATATAGCAGAAGAAGCAGAACCCCATGGCTGAGTACAATGTCCTTTATATCTTCCAGACCTGAAGGTCTAAACCAGAATTTTAGTCTCAGCTTGTAATAAAGTTATTATCTTTTTAAAATTTAAATACTCAGTGCATTTTACAGAGGATTTATACCACCTACTTTGCCTCACAACAGTAATGACGCTAATTACCAAGGATAAGCTGTTTATTGTCTGTAAGAAGTGTTGTTAAAACAACTTAAAAAAAATCATTATTTGAGGGCTCAGTGAAAGGTAATAGCCCTAATATAACCTAGATGCTGAATTTTGCTTCAAAAAACAGAACTCGGCAAAAAATTTCAATACCTCCAAAAAAATATTTAAGTGCATAGTTATTTCTGTTTTGAATAGCTGCAATTCTTAATGCTTCCTCTTTACTGACTTTTATCTTTACTGGAGTGTTAATTTGAAGGGCTCTTTTTTTTCTGCAAATGGTCAAGGTTCTTATGAGCCTGCATGAAAGTGCAGCATTAATACGTGCACACTCAAAAAAGCTGTACAGTAAGAGATAATGGAGACTGTTGAATCCAGCATATGCAAAACTATTACATAGGCTGCTACAACATCCCAAACTTCTTCATGGGTAAAGGCAGACACAGGACAGAGGGCACTTCTTTAGTCAGCCACCTTGCCTGTCAGAACAAAACACTACTCAGTCTTTCAGTTTCCCTGTAGAGAGGATAACTGTCAAGGGGAGCTAGATGGTTACTCTGACATCCGTATGTTAACAGCGCATATTGTGCTTGGTGAGTCTGCACAAACAAGCTAAACACCACTAATTTCTTAGTCTGTGTTTTCACTGTTATTTTAAAACAGCATAAACCAGCACTTCTCCATTAGCAGCCCTCCCCACTTGCATGTCCATTCATTTGTATCATTCCCTCCATCACACTACTGAAAAAAATCTGTTACAGAACTAGATTAGGGTACTGCACCAGGAGGAGCCTCACTCAGCCCAAGAGAACCAACCAGTAGAGTATCTCTTGATTTATGCAGAGTTATGAGGAAGAACTTTTGTGATCTAATACTGATTAAAGAAATAAAAGCAAACTCACAGAAAACTTAGAATTAGCTTCTGATAATAAGGTGGTCTCAAAATTTTCAAAGTAACTTATAAAGTTACTAATATAAACACAGACAATTGTATGACCACAAAGCAGAGGAGTCCTATGCAACAATAAAACCCAACTACATAGCCTCTCTAAGGTGACAGGTTAGAAGATGAACAAGTAATACTGCTTAACACCCCCATACCTTGGCCTCAAAGGCGTGGTGAGAAAGTGAGTGAAGAGATGGAAGACAGATATGAAAAAACCCATATGTGATGTAAGCAAAAGGATTTTAATTCATCCTTGTGACTGGTGCTGCAAAAGTTCATCTGCAGAAGCTTTCAGCAAGAATGAAGAGGCAGCTAAGACAGACTTGCCCATTCCAAGTAGGCAATGAGAAGACAAGTGGACAACTGCAGACAGCTGAACAAGAAACAGCCATCAGTAGAGGCATGAGTTCTGCTATCAGGAAAAGAGCTTGACAGTCCTGGTGAC